CTTTCCTTCTTTTTCAGTCCAACGCTGCTGGTGCCGCCCTGGCTACCCGCTTCTCCGAACTGTCTCCCGACCTGGAGAAGTTGCGGAAGAAGAACCTGGAGGCGGAGAAGAAGCTCTCCCAGGCCCTTAAGGAGGCGACCTCCCTTAAGGCCAAACTGGCTAAGGCCGAGGGGGAGCTGGACGCGGCTCAGGTCCAACTCGCCTCCACCAGGTCGGAGCTCGACCAAGAGAAGGCAGGCGTGGCCAAGCTGAAGGAGGACCATGCCCATGAGCTCTCCGGCACCGTCAGCCGGGAGCGGAAGAAAGCTGTTCGAGAGTTCCTCTCTTCCGAACAGTTTGAGGAGGACATCGCCCTCCTTAACCTGCCCATCCTCCAGGTCGGTGCTACGCGGGCCCTGGACAAGGTGAAGAGCCTCAACCCTCCTGGTTTCAGCTTGGCGGACTTCAAGGACTACAACCCCGCGGCCGAGGAGAGGCTGGACTGGCTCTTCGACGGGTATCGCAAGGGGCATGCCCTGAAAGGGTTGGTAGGTCGAACCGACGTTGGGGCTGAGCTGGCTGAGGTCCCCTTGGGGGAGAGCGAGTCTCCTGGCAGGGCTGTTGGGAAAGAGCCGGTGGTCTAGGGCGGCGGCCACTCCAGAAACCCTTTCCGTCTTCTTATAAGGATGTGACCATACTCCAGTTGAAAATGCTCTTGGAGGTCCATCCGGGACGGAAGGGTTTCCCTGCATCCGGGCTCCTGAATAGCCTTCACCATACGCCTCTCAACATGCTTAAGGTGTACTTTCAGCTCCCACCCCGGTCGGGCCACCAGCAGGTAGAACAGACATCGAAGGAGATCGCCAACTCGAAAATTTTACGGTAGATAGGCAGGGCGTTTTGTAATAGATAGGCGGCTCAAAGACTCTGTAAGCCTTGTAATAGATAGGCTTTGAATGCATATATAAAACTTGAGGAGACTTATTTTGCATTTCTTTGCCTGCTCCCAATTCTGTCGTGCCGACCTCTAGGGGTCGAGCATCAGCCTCCATCCAAGTTCTCGATCGTGCCGACCTCCTGGGTCAAGCACTGACTTAGGAGCCTTGGAGGACTTAAACCATGCCGACCTCTTGGGGTGGAGCATCAGCTTCCATCCAAGTTTCCCAATCGTGACGACCTCTTGGGTCGAGCACTGACTTGGAAGCCTTGGAGGCTTTACCCCATGCCGACCTCTTGGGCCGAGCGCGGAGTTTTCAAAACCCAGAACCCTTTCAAGTTTTCTCGTTTTTCCTCGATCATGCCGACCTCTTGGGCCGAACACTAACCCTTCCAAGTTTCCTCGTTTTTCCTTGATCATGCCGACCCTGACTTGGAAGCCTTGGAGGATTTACCCCATGAATACTAACCCTTCCAAGTTTCCTCGTTTTTCCTCGATCCTGCCGACCTCTTGGGTCGAACACTATACCTTGGTCGTCCTTACTACCCCTAACCCCCCACTAGAACAGTTAGGGAGGAAACGCTAAGTGTGCTAGTGAATTTTGAACTTTATTAGCTTGGAAAGGAGACAGGGACGAGTGAAATGTAAACGCTAAAGGCAAACTTTTATTGAATGAAAAAACCAAAAAATTCTGATTCCAGAGTACAGACAACTGGACATTCTGGTTTATCTTACGCTAGAAACAGGTGCAGGTTGGAGAAGTGCCAAGTACGGGGTACCTCAGATCCGTTCATGCCGGCGAGCTTGCAGTAACCGGCCCGACCCACCTCAAGGACCTTGTAGGGGCCCTCCCAATTTGGGTCGAGCTTGTTGGAACTGTGAGTTCGGCTGACCGAGTTCTTTCTTAGGACGAGGTCTCCGGGCTGGTACTGTATAGTCCTCACTTTGGCGTTGTGATAGCGGGCGAGCTGACATTTATACTTAGCCATTCGAACAGCCACTTCCTCACGGCTGACTTCGAGCATGTCCAAGTTGCACCTAAACTCTTCCTCGTTGGATGTTGTCACGAAATTCTGTGTTCTGGGTGAGAGAAGACCGACCTCCGCGGGCACCACAGCCTCCACTCCGTAAGTTAGGGAGAACGGGGTCTCGTGAGTAGCCGTCCTGGGCGTAGTACGGTAAGTCCAGAGGACACTGGGGAGCTCATCCAGCCAGCTCGATTGGGCGGACTCCAATCTAGTCTTCAACCCTTGCAGAACAGTTCGGTTAGCGTTCTCCACCTGACCATTGGTCTGGGGGTGACCAACCGACGTGAAGTGTTGGTTGATTCCGAGCTCAGCGCACCAGCTCCGGAAAGGGTTCTCGGCGAACTGGCGGTCGTTGTGGGATATCAGGACGTGCGGAATCCCAAAGCGACAAACTATGTTCCTCCAAAAGAATTTCTGAATTGCCTTTCCAGAGATAGAGACCAGGGGCTCCGCTTCCACCCACTTTGTGAAGTAGTCTATTGCCACCACGAGGTGTTCATATCTTCCCGGGGCTCGGGGGAAGGGACCCAGGAGGTCTATCCCCCATTGAGCGAAGGGCCAATGACTGTGGATGGGGACCATCTCCCGAGCTGGCTGATGGCGCAGCGAAACATGCACCTGGCAAGCTCGGCATTTCTGGACCAGATCTGCTGCGTCTCGGAAGACGGAGGGCCAATAGTAGCCCAAAAGAAGGCACTTTTTGGCCAACACCCGGGACCCCACGTGTGCCGCACATATACCTTCATGAATTTCGCGCAGAACGTAGTCACCTTCCTCGGACGTCACACACTTTAGCCAGGGGGACAAGTACGACCTCCTGTAGAGGGTTCCCCCGGCGTAGGCGTACTTGGCAGTTCGGAGCTGGATTCGACGAGTCTCGATTTTGTTTTCAGGGAGGGCACCCGAGCTGAGGAAGTCAATGAGGGGAGCCATCTAGGTGACCGAGCTATTTATCGCCAGGACCTGGACCTGGTCGATGCTTTTCTGTTTCACCACCTCTACCAAGACCTCCTTGCTCAGGTGGGCGAACGAGGAAGATGCCAGCTTTGACAGGGCGTCCGCGCGCTTGTTCTTGGACCTTGGCACCCGCTCGATTTCAAAAGTCCCGAACAAGGCTACTACCTCCCGTACCTTAGCCAGGTATTTCTTCATGACGTCGTCCTTGGCTTCATACTCTCCGCGAGCCTGGAGGACGACGAGCTGCGAGTCGCTCCGAACTCTGATCGCAGTGATGCCCATCTGGTGAGCTATCCGCAGCCCCGTCAACAGGGTCTCGTACTCTGCCTCGTTGTTGGATGCCGGGAAATCGAACCTAAGCGCATAGGTCAGCTCTTCCCCGGTAGGCGAGGTGAGCAGCAGGCCAGCTCCGCTCCCCTCCTTGCTCGAGGCACCGTCCACGAACAGCACCCACGGCTCCTCCGCCGGGGCTTCCGCAGGTGTTGGGGCTAGCTCGGCCAGTTTTAAGTTAGCCCCCTCAGCAAGGAAGTCCGCCAAGGCCTGATCCTTGATCGCGGTGCGAGGCCGATAACTAAGGTCGTGCTCGGCCAGCTCGACGGCCCATTTGGTCATCCTGCCCGAGACCTCGGGCTTGGTGAGTATCTGTCGTAGGGGTTGGTCGGTCAGGACTACAATGCTGTGAGTCTGGAAGTAAGGGCGGAGCTTGCGAGCAGCATGCACCAAGGCAAGAACCAGCTTCTCGGCCGGCGAGTATCGCGTCTCTGGCCCCTGTAGAGCTCGGCTGACGTAATACACCGGCCTCTGAGCCCCCCCGTCCTCCCGCACCAAGACCGCACTGACGGTCTCGTTGCAAGCGGACAGGTATAGGAACAGGGTCTCCCCCAACTCCGGGGCGGTCAGAGTTGGCAGCTCGGCCAAATAGGCTTTCAGGTCGGTGAAGGCTTTCTGGCACTTCTCTGTCCAATGGAAATCCTTAGGCGCTTTCAAAACTCGGAAGAAGGGCAGCCCACGGACCGCGGAGCGCGAGAGGAACCTGCTCAGGGCGGCCATTCTCCCTGTGAGCCGCTGGACTTCCTTCACGTTCCTTGGAGGAGCCATATCCACGATAGCCTGGAGCTTATCCGGGTTGGCCCAGATTCCGTCTCGGGACACCAGGAAGCCGAGAAACCTTCCCGATCTGACCCCAAAGGTGCACTTCTTCGGATTTAGGCGCATCCGACTCCCCAATAGGATGTCCAAGATCTCCCGCAGGTCGGGTATGAGCCGCTGGTCAGTTCGACTTTTGACGATCATGTCGTCAACATAAACCTCCATGCTTTTGCCGATCTGGTTTTGGAATAACTTGTTGACCAGGCGCTGGTAAGTAGCTCCCGCGTTCTTCAACCCAAACGGCATGGTCCTGTAGCAGTAGGTTCCCTCCTCGGTGATGAAGGAGGTCTTGCCCCGGTCTTTCTCAGCCATCTCTATCTGGTGATATCCCTTAAAGGCATCCAGGAAGTATAAAACGTCAAAACCCACAGTAGAGTCTACTAACCTGTCGATTCTAGGCAGGGGAAAGCAGTCCTTCGGGCAGGCTTTGTTAAGGTCCGTGAAGTCTACGCACATCCTCCAGGTCTGGTCCTCCTTCTTGACCAGGACGGGATTGGCCAGCCAGGTCGGGTAGTAGACCTCCAGGATGATCTTGGACTCCAGCAACTTGCCTACCTCCGCCTTGATCACCTCATTCCTTTCGGGGGCAAAGCTCCTTTTCTTCTGCTTCACTGGCTTGAAGTGAGGGTCCACGTCGAGGTGGTGGACCGCCAGGTCTGTTGGGATCCAGGCATGTCCTCCACCGTCCATGCGAATACCTGGGAGTACTCTCTCAACAAGGCCTTCAAGCCTTCTTTCTCCTCGGCTGGCAGCAATGCCCCGATGCGGATGACCTGGTCGGGCCGCTCCTCCCTCAAGGGAAATTCCTCAATCTCATCCTGGGTGCCTAGCTGTTGGGCCTCATCCCCTGGGATGTAGGGCTCCAAGCTGGTCGTCTGGGCGACCATCTTCTCCGGCCCGCGGAGCGTGGCCAAGTAGCAAGTTCTGGCCACCTCTGGGTCACCGTGCACCTAGGCAATCCCTCCTGGAGTGGGGAACTTCACGCTGAGATGGAGGGTGGACGGAATAGCTCGGAGGGCGTTCAGAGCTGGCCGGCCCAGGAACACGTTGTATGAGGATTGCTGTTTGACCACCACGAAATTGACAGGGATGGTCCGGCATTTGGGGGCCTGCCCTACAGTGATCATCAGGGTGATCATTCTCTCCGGATTGATGGGTGGTCCTGTGAAGCCCACCAGAGGTGTTCGAACCGGGGTCAGCTGGTCGTCCCTCAGTCCGAGCTCTTTGAACACCCGGTAGAACATAATGTCGACCGCGCTACCTTGGTCGACATACACCTTCTTCACCCGATAGTTGTTGGTGACAATGTCTATCACTATAGTCTCGTGATTCCCAATCGCTAGGGGAACTGCATCTCTTGGTCCGAAGGTGATCTCCTCGTCCATGCGCAGGCGTTTCAAGGAGTCGTCTCCCTCGGGGGGTGGTCGCCTGTTTTTCCTAGCTGTGTGACTGTCTCCCCCCGTGGGGCCTCCGGCGATAGTGTTTATAACCCCCGCTAGGTTCTGGCTCTCCAGGTCGGGGGAGGGGTTCCGAGGAGCGTCGCGCCGCTCAGGGCGGTCTCGACGCCGTCCCTCGTACCTATCTCCGTAGTGGTTGCGCCCGGGCTCCTGACCAGGTCGGCGCACGAACCGTCCTAAAAAGCCGCGCTAGATCAGGTCCTCTATCTCCTTACGCAGGGCCCAGCACCCCTCCGTGTCGTGTCCGACGTCGCGGTGAAAGGCGCAGTACCTGTCCTGGTTCCTTTTGTTCCGGGGCGTCCCTATCTTGGGCGGCCGATCTCCCAGTCCTTCCGCCTCCATAACAGCCAAGATCTGGGCTCTGGGCCGTGTTAGAGGGGTGTAGGTCTTCTCTGGGAGTGGCGGCGGAGCAGGGGCCTTCTCCTTCGAGAGCCGGTCGAAGACGTTTTTCTTGGACGGGACGTCCTTGCCCTCTGGGGGGTTTGTCCGACCTTTCCGATCTCCAAACTCCCGATCTGATTCTTTCTTCAGACGACCTGCCTCCTCCGAATTAGCGGCCTCGTGCGCCCTGCGTAAGAGCTCCTCCAGGTTGACGGGAGGTTTCTTGGCCAGGTCGTAGAAAAGCTCCTCTACCCTGAGCCCATTCTTGAAGGCGGCCATCACCACTTTTTCGTCATTGTCCCTGACCTGCAAGCTATCCGCATTGAAACGGGTCATAAAATTCCTCAGTGACTCGTCGGGCCTTTGCCTGATGGACATCAGGTGAGTTGCGTTCCTCGCGTAGACCTTCGAGGAGACGAATTGGGCTGCGAACTGCCGAGCCAGCTCGGGAAAGCTCCGGATAGACCCCGGCGCCAGTCCCTGGAACCAGAGCCGTGCCTTCCCCTTTAGGAACATAGGGAAGGTCTTGCAGCGGACCTCATCCGCGGCGGTTTGCAGGCGCATATGCGTCAAGAAAATCGAAAGGTGGTCCTCCGGATCTTTAGAGGCATCGTACATCTCGATGCTCGGAATCTTAAATCTCCGGGGTAGGGGGTAGTCCTCTATCTCCCGGGTAAAAGGCGAGATTGCGTAGTTGTTCTCGTACTGCCGGGGCCTCAAGATCTGCTCGAACTCATCCCGAGCAGGTTCCAAGTGAAGGAGGTCACGGGGTCGGCTCTTGACGGACCGAGCAGGGGAGCGCTCGAACCCATTCCGCGTGGGCTTCCTGGGGGAGGGTCTCTGGGACGACTCCTCGCGGACCTGTCGCGGGAATACCTCTCGCTGTCTCCGACCACTGAGGCTCGCGGGCGGGGAGGAGTCCGGGGTCGCTTCCTCCTGGGGGGCTGGTCTCGTGACTCATCCTCCGAAGGATCAGGGGGTGACTCCTTCTCCTTCCTCTTGGCCTTGGAGGTCTGTGCACCCTCAGCCCCCTCTCCCTCATTCGCCTGCCGGATTATATCTTCCAGCATGAGGTGATTCTCCGTCACAAACTGGAAGATCTGCTGCCTGCGCTCCCCTGAAAGGGCTGAGCCCCCGGCGCCCCGAGACGCCTCAGCTTCTTTTTGCTGGGAACCTTCACCGCCCCCCGGGCCAGTGCTTTCTACCGTGCGCTTGGATCGCGTCCTGGCCATCAGCACAATTTTACTTATCTTACGTTCCCACAGACGGCGCCAACTGAAGAAGCACTGAGCTTCCCCCAACTGAAGAAGCGCTGAGCTTCCCTGGACCGAGCTGAACTAACGAGCTCGGTGTGCTGATGGAAGAGCTGATCCTAAGCCTGCAAAACAAACAAGGATGAACTAGCAAAGGGGGCCCGAGGGTTGTCCCCGAGGGCACTCCGACGGCCAAGTTAGTCATCCGGTGAGTAAAGTTCACGGGAAGTAATAACAACCGGGAGTAATTTGCCTATAATGAGCGTACCTTGTACAGTTGACGTGTGCTACCATTTATACCTGCGAGGGAGTCCAGCCTCCGCACGTTTCGGGACCTACCCAAAATAGTCGATATCCCGCACTCAGGGGGATTGCCCCCGACCTCTTCGGGATGGACCCTTGCCCCCTCGGGAGCCCTAGTGGTGCGGCTCAGGTCGGCTGCCAGGGGCCAGGGGCCGAAGCCCAGCTCGGCCTTGTCTGGGCTGCCACGTTTTCAGGCCCAAGATGGGGCCTCTGCAATTGACAAGTACAATAATGAGCAATTAGCCTCAGGGCAGGGAATCCAAGGGACCAAACATATATTTCTATCGTCTTCCTTGATAAGATAAGATTGTTTTGCATGTATAGTAGTAGAAAGTAAACAACTCTTTTCTCCTCTTTTTTTCCTTTTTACTTGTCTTTGTTAGGTTCGTTCATCTTCCCAAGGTCTTTAACTTGTAGGTAAGTAAAATTCTGGCATTAACTAATTAATGCAGAGACAGGAAAAACACATTCCGCAATCTATCAAGTGCTTCTCGGGATTTTCTGCTAAAGTAGAGATGTATATATGTGGATCTTTTTTAAAATGAACCAGACAACCATCAGGCGGTCTGAAGGCTCAAAGACAATGATGGCTTTCGTATGTAAGCGCGTTAAAAGAATAAAAAATTGATAGAAAAGAGAATGTTGCATTTAAGAAAATTCGGGTTACAATATCCATGCGTTAATAATTGGTCCAAACAAAGCCTTGTTGCCTTTATTTATGTGCCAAGATGTCCTTCAACGAGGCTAATGAAATTTAGTGAGCCTGAGAGACAAATTAACGACTTTAAGTTTGTTTCCGCCAGAAATAGGAAAGAGGATCCATCGTTAAGATCCGGTTATTTAATGAGTCTATACTTTCAGAAGATCCAGTTCACTTTTTTTTTTTTTCTTTTTTAACCCACAAAAAAAAAAGGTTTGCTAAATAGTTCAATGCTATTTATAGCGGATAAGTTTACTTATTGGGTGTAAATAAGGAATGGTTTTACATTGCTGAAATCCCCTGAACTTTTAATTACAATAGACTAGCTAGTTTCTTCCTGCCTATAAAAATCACATATACATGATTGATGCAGTATTCAAACAATTTGATGGCTACCAATTTTATTATATCATCCTTGGCGGATCCATTGATATAACAAACCTTCCCTAGAGGCGGGACGCCCCAAAATTAATGAAATCAATTATGAGAAGAGATTGAGTGATCGATATGAACGGAGCCAAATTCATTCAAGTTCTTATTCCTATAAAGAAAAAAGGGGGGGGGGGGGGGGCTTTTAGACAATAGAAATGAGTCAAGGACTATACCATGGGTGACAAAATGGAAAATGACTTCTTCCACGGTAGCAAGAAATTGAATCCTGATACTCTACTATTTCCATGCATTACGCGAAAATTGGAACGACTTCTTTCAGATTTTGGGACGAAAGGACAAATGCGCTAATGGGTGTCACTGAGTCAAAAAGCGATGCAGAAGAACCAACTAGTAGTATTATTTGATCTTGTGAGGTTTTTGCTACTCGCTTCAATGGAATTAGCAATGGAATCAAGCTGCCTGTCCCCAATCTGATGCATCAAAAAGCACCCCTCCAACGTGAAAGACGTTGCTTCAAGTAATTTCAAATCACAATCTCCACATATCAATATTATTTTAAAAAAAAAAAGAAAGAAAAGAAGAAAAGCATATTCATGGTAAAGTTTTTGATAATCTGTTTGTACAGCAATGGAAAAGAGAATTAAGATGCTCCAAAAAAATATATACTGTACTATATTGGAGGAAGAGGATAGCTCAACAGGGCTGCCAACGATCAAACCTCGTAAAGATACAAAAATCCAACCCACTCCCAGATCCGAAACACTCCTCCTGATATTCGCACATTTTTTGACATTATTGTGCGCTCCATTGGGCCAGAGTTCCAGACTTTTACTTGCTATATCGGGATCGTCTGGCTCATTTAAACTTTCAAGCCAATTCCGATACGAAATTGTTGGTTCATTAAATTCTCCAAACCTGCTCAAATAATTTATTCTTCCCCGACATGTAATTAAAAAAAAAAAAAATCTTGCCCAATCCTTTCAAAATCTCCTTTTTACTGCAATGGGGCCGAGCAAAGTAGGAAGCGAAATCTCTAAACAAGGTAATGAGGTCAAACTGATTAGTTACAAAAAGTAACAGACCTTGTTTAATAATTTAATTCAGTGTTTAAATTTAATGGAATCAGATTACATGTGTTTGATAACAAAAAAAAAAAAAAAAAAATAGAACATCTAAATCAAGCTGTCCACATTCTGATGTATCAAAAAGCACCGCTCCAACGTGAAATAAAAACATTGGTCACGACCATTTTCTGGTCATGGCTAGGCCAGCATGGGACCTTATCCAACCTTCATCTGCTGATCCACCAATTTTTGGTACATCATTTCTTGAATTTCCTGAATTTTATAATGTCACAGTATTGAAATTTGAGGCCAGGGCATATCCTTGGCAAGAAAGGGCAATTCCGTATTCCACCTCATTTCATCCGCCAAATTTGGCAATTTTGGGTTAACAGGTTGAGGAGGACTAGGAGAACTAGTTTAATGTTGTTTGCTGGTGGGGTTGGAATTTCGGCCAATCCCAATGTTAGGAGGAGTATTAGGCTTGAATGTGAAAATAGGACTAGCATGAGTGTGAATGGTACAAGGCACACTAAATTATGTGAATTTGTTGATTGTTCAAATGGGGTTCGTGAGCATGATCCGTTAAGGGTTATGAAGCCAATGTTGCAGGCTACTTTTTGTTTGCAGCCTCCTGGTGATACACCAACTAGGAGGTCAACTTTTGATGGGATTCTTGCTGGTTGCATGCCAGTGTTTTTTGAGGATTTGTCTTCCAAAAAGCAGTATCAATGGCATTTGCCTGAGGAGAAATATGAGGAGTTCTCTGTTTTTATACCAAAGGAAGAGGTAGTATACGAAGGGTTGAGGGTTTTTGGATGTGCTGATGAGCGTACCAAGAGCTGAAGTTAGGAGAATGAGAGAAAAGGTTTTGGAAATGATGTATAGAAAGCATGAGAGCTCACTCGGTTTGGGGAGCAAGAAGGATGCGTTTGATATTGCTATTGAAGGCGCCTTGCAGAGGATCAAGTCCAGACTAGAGGAAATAGCTTGATTCTTGGTGTAATTTTATTAGCTTCTTGTAGTTGTGGTGCTTTTTCTTGGCTCTTTCTTTGTCATGCATTTGCCAATGAGTGTGCATGATCACAGAAGTTTTGTATTAGTAGTAATTATTAAAAAGCAAAAAAGGAAGAAAAAGAATTTGCATACGGATTTCCACTGATGGATAAAAAAACTAATTGATAAATATGGTGGAACGTAGAAATGAAGATTGTTATGAACATCCCAGCTCAAATGCATGCTTGACACACACAGTAACATTTGGAGGTCAAGAACTTCGACTACAAAGGCGTCCGTCTGCTATAAAGTTTATTGCTTTGATTATGGCAGGAGAGCAAGATCAACCCTGAAGTGGCAAACTTTGTAGTATCCTGCTTTGCATTGATTGTCGTAATTTGATAGCTTCGAATGTTGTTTATCACGAGATCAGCCTATGTGAGACAATTGCATTAATGCTTGTTTTGCATTCTTGTAACTGATTTTTGGTAGGTACTCTTGCATGCATGTTTAGCAGAACTTTTTATGGCAATCAGCAGTTGACTCAAGGAGAAAACCTTGAAGAGCAGAGGACATGTCTGAAACATAAAACCCCATATTTTGGGAAATGGGCTTGTGGTAGATTATGCTTCTGTCATCTGTCGACAACAGAATATTTCATAGTTTCGAGCAAGAATTTGAGAACAGGAGCTGCAATATGTGTGGGTCGTGCTCCTCTCGTTGAAGCATTGAAACCAGGAGCTGGAAAGCCTCCTATGGCTTGGCTGCAAATTAATTTCCATCCATGATGAAAATAGTCAGCTCCCCTGAAGTTAATTTTCCATCCATGATGAAACGACCAAGGTCTCTGTGTCTATTGGGCTTTGTGGTGACCCTTGAAAAAGCTACGAGCTTAGATGCAGAATTATGGGC